AGGTTGGCAAGCAAGCAGGAAAAGCTGAGAACCGGCTGTCCAGGGGGGGTCCCTTTAAGCACGAGCCTCAGACAGCAGCCACACAAAGCAACTACTGACCTGATGCCCTGCCGGAACCGGTTTCAGCTGCCCTTAAATGCGCCCCTGCATCCAATCAGTGTGGACGTGCTAGTTCGAATTAGCAAAACGCTAATTCGAACTAGTTTTTAGTTAAGCACGAGCCTCAGACAGCAGCCACACAAAGCAACTACTGACCTGATGCCCTGCCGGAACCGGTTTCAGCTGCCCTTAAATGCGCCCCTGCATCCAATCAGTGTGGACGTGCTAGTTCGAATTAGCAAAACGCTAATTCGAACTAGTTTTTAGTTCTAGATGCGTTAGTTCGAATTAGCGCTGTAGTGTAGACATACCCTTAGTCACCAGGTGCTGGTCAGCACTCCTGATTATGACATTACCACTTATCTTTTCCATTCATGCATGGACTTTTACATCCATGTGCAGAATAATTTTTTTCTATGTGCATTGAGGAATGAATGTGCACCATCAAGAGAAACAAAAACGTAGGTGGACACTCTGCTAATCAGCAGAGTGGTGTTGGAATCTCTCCTGCACTGTCACTCAAGTGCAGGGCTTATAGAAAATACTGCCCACTGGTACGGGCCAATAATTTTTCATGATTATTTTTTCCTTACAGGAATTTGTTTGAGATGGCTAGCACCCAGCACCAGCCCAAAGCAGCAGTGTCAAGAAAGCACAGTCCATCCAGAGAAAGTGAGGCTCCATTGATGGGAATGCAGTTGTCCACATGCATCTGCCAAGGAGGAAAGCAAAGTCAGCAAAAAGAACAAGTCAGTGGGAACTTGTGTAGTGCCTGATACTTGACATACTGCTTGGTTGCTTTATGCTTACAGTAATAATATTTATTTGCATCACCTTAGTGTCTAGGAACCCTAGTCATGGCCTGGTAGCCCCTTGTGTTCGGTGCTGTACAAAGACAGAACAAAAAGATGGACCCTGGCCCGAAGAGCCAGTAGTTGTAAGTATAAGACAAGAGACAACAGATGAATACAGACAGCCAGACAGGGGAATATGAGGAAACAATGGGGGCAGTGGTATCATAGTGAGCAGTGGTATCAGTTCCTAACAATTCTCAGGTTTTGTGAAGGTGACAGGGCAGAGGAGAGTGGGAAGGAGGGAGAAAGCTGTAAAGGTGATTTAAGCCACATTTGGAACACAACTTGCCAGCTGTGCTTAGCAAGCAGCCTTGCAGCAGGGGATCTTTCCCTTCAGGACTTGCATGGTATTTATAAATCTATTATCATGGGTGCCTAGGAGGGGCCAAAAAATATGTCCATGTAACTGGTACCACAGCATGGTGACTGCCTGGCAGTTCTTACATGTGCTACAACAGTTTGATGGTGAACTGCAGTGTGGATTCATGGATGGGTAAATTGGTTGTTTGGTTAGATTTGGGCAAGAGGAAGAGGGGATGTGGGGGGAGGTGAGTCTGAGTAAGAAAGTGAGAGAGTTAAAATAAATACAGGTTAGAGTTTGCTGGACCCAAAGAATTGCATGTAAGCTCCCAGGCTGTTTTGAGACTGCATGAAATAGAGAAGGGCTCACACCTGTTACTAGACTTGAATGTGTTTAGCAAAGAAATATTTGCGCTTTCTGCCTTGTAGCGCTCAGTGAATTGTTCCAGCGTCCCCTCCCATTTGATTTAGTGACCGTCTGCACTATTGTCTCGCTGCTGAGACTATTTGACAGTATCAGTGTTTGGGATATCATAGCCTGATTAAATTCGCAGGGGAAAGACTGGGGCGATTCATGTGTCAGGTTGACTATGGGGATGGATGGGGAAGGGGCTCCTTGGTATGTGGAGAAAGGAGGAGGACTACCACATTGGAAGAGAGATCCGGGAGGGAACTCTGGCTATTTCCTTTGTTATGAATTAATACATCCAGTCCTACCCCTGCCTCTTGGAAGCCTTTGAAGTCATCGTTGACTTCCAGAGCAAATTCCTGGGGTCCCTGGAGATCAGTGTGATGCAAGCATTTTAAAAAGAAGATTGGGGAGAGGGATTGGTCTCAAAGAGCCGAAGTCTCTCTCTCTTGTGTATGGAGTATTTAATACCCAGCCAGAATACTGGGCAGCTGGATGCAGAGTCCCTCCCTCTGGGATTTGTGCCATGGACTATTATTGTTTTCCAAATGGGGCAGCGTGTCTGGCTAGTAAACAACCTGGTGCACAGGTGGAGTTTGACTCAGAGGGCTTCATGAGACATTGGATTACATGGCACCAGATGTTCTCCAACCACAGATACCGGATTGTAACACGCACACACGTCAATAGAAATTCCTGCTCGTTGGCTTTCCAATTAATTTGTGCTCATTTCAAAGCCTGCCCATGGAAACTGAGAGGTATGATGCTCTGGGAGCAGAGAGAAAGAGATTAAGAAAGTTGGGCTCTGGGAACAGAGCAAGAGAGACTAACCCCTGGGAACCGCATGTGAGAGAAAGAGAGCGAGAGAGAGAGAGAGAGAGAGAGAGAGAGAGAGAGAGAGAAGCCCTGGGATCACAGTGAAGTGATAAAGGCAGACAGGCTTTGGAAACGCAAGAAGACACAGTTACTGAGTGGGAAAGAGAGAGAGGACGACAGATTTTAGAAAATGTGGACATATTAAGGTGGATCACAAACCATGGGGCTGCTGTTGGTAACCCCTGTGTGTTACTTGAATCTTCGATTGTAAATTCTTTACTCTATTTGTGTACAGCATCTAGGGCAACAAGGTCTGAATTCCATTGTGAACCTGTAGACAAGACAATCATCTTTCTCTATATATAAAAAAGTTTTTCCTGCTGGGGGACAGAATGACGCCATCTCACACACTTTGGCTGCGAAAGTGAAAGCAGCCAGAGAGAGGGGGATTGGCAAATGTAGCAAGCATAGGGCACATCTTGCCAGTAATTATTAAGAATAGATTCCGATTCACATAGCATATGGTGTAAACTGAGTGAAAAGGACATGTCTACTGGCATCCATCCCAGGGACAGATCAGTGACAGACAGCTGGCTGCGGAGAGCTGTAGGTCCAGAATTCTATTTCTCTGTGCTGCCAGCAGGCAGTCTAGCCAGTGGTCATGAGGTCTGTTCACTCCTGTACTGCCACAGATCCATCACAGCATGTCAAAGAACTTCCCCAGTCATGGGTTAATGGCTGGCAGTGAACATGCCAGCCATTGAGTGCTCAGCGATATCACACAAAGAATCCCGGACATTGGACTCTGTTTAACTCAGGATGTAGAGCAGAAAAGTAAGTGGGCACAGACCTCACGAACTTGAGTGAGAGGTGAGTCTGCTTACTACAGGGCTGAATTTGTCCCTGAACTTCTGTCCAGGGTGTATGGTTAATTCTTCTCTTTTTAAGAAATGCACATGAGAGGTCAAGACATAGGCTGGAGGGACCTTATTATAACTTCAGACCAAAGCAAAGTACTTCTGGCAAAATCCATTTGACATCTACACAGCTTTCAGAATGAAACCAAGACATGAATGGAATTTGAATCCACAGTCTTTTGACTCAGAGGTAAGATTGCTAACAACTAAGCTAGAGTGAGACCTCTGGAACCTGATTAACAATGCTCCTCTGTATCAAAGGATTATTCTTACATAGCTCTTAGAAAGGGCTTTCCATTTCAAGGGCTTTAGCAAGGAGGTCAGTATTATTATTCCCATTTTACAGGGTGGGGTAAGTGGAGGCATGAGAAAATGAAGTGACTTGCCCAAGATAATCCATCAGGTCAGTGGTAGAGCTAGGGCAAGAAGTTCGAGCCAGTGTTCTGTCCACTAGGCCACACTGCCCCCACTGCACAATATATTTCTATAGGATATTAAATTAGTTCTAACTACTCCCATGTGTTTGTTGACCTAGACTGATGAGTTTATCTGATAGGTAGGTGCCTCATTATCAGCTTCAAAGCCTCCTTTGATAAGTAGAAAATGTATGAAACAGAAGTTTTAGTGTATGCATTATAATGAATCTACAATTTATGCCCAGATGAGCTGATTGCTTATCCCACTAAGTCTTCAAAGAAGAGTGTCTAACAAACCTAAAGGTCCAACTGGACGAATGTGACCTCTAGTCAACATTGCTAATTCAAAGACAAAAATTCTTTGAGTCACAGCCATCTTCGTGTGTGTGGAACAAACCTTTCCCAATTCTTGTACAGTATGGGAAGGAGAGGACAGAGGTTGAGCGGGAAAAGCCCGTGTTTGTTAGTTTTATTTGGACGGCATTTTAACGATAATTCTCCCCTCTGTTCTTTCACAGCACGATAAGAATCTCTTTTCTTCTTAGCTTTTGGAGGGCACTGGAAGGCATCATGGGTCAACTAGGCTGCCCTTTATCCTTGCTCATCCATCATGGTCCTGGCTGGTGATGGGTTCAAGGTGTTGCTGTTCTGAGATCCTAAGCAGCTACTAATGCCTCTTCCTCAGACTGAAGCCTGCCTTGTTTTTTCAGTAACCCAACCTTTTCCCCTTCATCTGAGGGAGAATTTAAAGCATCTGCTGCCACAGCTTTCCAAAGAAGATGACGGGGAAACCAATGACGATTTTCATTGTGCTTTTGATTTTCAGGAGAAAATTTCATCATTCTAATACATGTTTGTTAATGACTCCTCCTCTCCCTTTATTTTCAAGTGGTTTTGTGGTGGCAGAACTTAGCTGGGATCAGAAGCAAAATACACCACAGGAAGAATTGTGCTTGGCAGAGCTACTGGCCTGGCTGGCAGAAGGGAACACTGGAAATCACAAGAAAATCCCTTTTTCTCCCAACTGATATCAATAGGATAAAGGCCAGTGAGAGTGAAACCAGAAACAAACCCCAAAGATTTTACTTCTCAAGAAGACCAAGATGAGCCATGGAAGCTAAATTCTACCTTTTGTAGCCAGTTGACAGGAATTATTTCTGAATCTTGACATCAGGGTGGTTGCATGTGATATCAGTAAAGGCAGAATGTAGCCCCAGGGGGTTGGTAGTTTTCTAGGGATGGAGAAGCTATTGAAAATTAAGTTGACCACTCACCAACATCTTAAGTTGAGATGCAAGTATAGTTCATTGTGACAGGTCAATGTTCTATTTTTTGCTTCTCCATTGCACCTTAGTATGATTCAGGAATATCATACAGTGATTATCATCCTAAGCACGCTAGGGAAAGTGGAGGATGGAACATTAGTCCTAATTCTGTCCTTCCTTTTTTTATTACAGCCTTAACACTGTTGAACTTTGACTAATGCTAGGCAGGATTGTATTTTTATAGCTGGGAAACAGGAGCCACAGGAAAATGGCATTTATAATATAGTCCTGGGCCCAATCTGAATGATGGATGTTCTTGATGCTGTGCTGCTGTGCCCCTGATGGAAGTTTGGGATGACTGTTGTTTTCTCTGATCAGAAGGGTGTTAGCTGTGGAGCCTCTGGAATTGGTGCCATGATTCTGACACAACAGAAATGTGTGTGGAAGCCAGACAGTGACAAATCAACCAAGCAGATTCTTGCCATTTCTGCCAATCTCTCCAACTAAATTACACCAAGACTGCACATTTTTCTGGGGACAATCATATTACATCAGGGATTAATCTGGCCCCCAGTCTCCAGAAGTTAGTGGTGAAGGTAAGATTAAAGATTTCAAGTATAAGCCATCTCAGGATGGAGACGCAAAAAGCCCTCCTAACCCTTAGAGCCCAGAATCCTGCTGATTCAAAGGGGCCTGAATCATGTGTCTGGAATGGGTCCGTAAAGCTCACATCCACTTTTGGAGTTCTCATCACAGTCTCAGACTGGAAAGG